CGCACCGGCCACCGGCGCCGCTGGGCAGCTCCGGCTGCAGCCGCGGCCCGCCTTGAGCCGCAGGTGCCGGGGGGAGGAGAGGAGTAAAGGCCGCCGCCGCCGCCTGTGGCCTGCTCCCGGCCTCCCTGAGGGCTCCGGGGGGTGGCCGGGCCCGGGGCCTGCTGGCGGCGGGGTGGGATGTGTCCCCCCGGCGCTGAGGGGAGAGACCCCTGAGGAAGGAAGGAGTCGGGTGTATTTTTGGAGTCACCCCGCTGCTGGACACATCTGTGCTCTTTATTTATTCTCCTTCGTTATCGATCTGTTTATATTCAGGCAAAGCCTACCAAGTCTTGGCCTTCCTCCCTTCTAATCTTTTTTTCTTTATGGCGTTTTAACATACTGTTTCAAAACCTACCTCCTGGTGGGAGGTGTCCCTGCCCAGGGCAGGGGGGTTGGAACTCAATGGTCTTTAAGGTCCCTTCCAACTCTTTAAGATCCCTTCCAACCATTCTGTGACTCTACATCTCATTTACTATCTTTCAAATTCCTTGCCCATCGCATCAGGGAGATGGGGAAGCAGCCAGAAAGGGGGATGATGGCTAAACTACTCCGTAAGAGTTGGGATGTTACATGAAAAACAGAAATGCCTTGGTTTTTAAGTATCCCAAAGTGTATTCACTTAATTCTAGCCTCTGTTGACGATTTTAAGGAAGGCAGAGTTGAGCGCTCACTAGCCTGGGCAGGTCTGTGCGTGTGGTGGCTCCGGTGGCTCCTCTCTGGGCCATCACCTTCTAACAGCACAGCCGGTTTGGGGCAGGGCTTGGGGGGTTGTTTTTCCCTTATTCTGTGAAAAAAGCAGATTCTGTTGGAGACTGGGACGGCTGGGTTACACCGTGTCCTTGACTGGAAGTCAGGGAAACAACGAACAAATGAAATACAGTGTGGGGATTCCTGTATAGCTCCCTTTCAGCTCACTCTAAGCGTGTTCTCACGTGGCCACAGTTAAGTGAGGCCTTCTGCCAGATGAGAAGTCTAATCGAGTGGTCCCATTCTCTTTTGTGTGTGAAGGAGGGGCTGGTGACTCTTGAAAAGTATGAAAACTCTGGTTTAATAAATCAATATCTGGAATCTAGTTATAACTTGGCTGGATTTTTTAGCTTGGGTTTTTTAGCAAGCCGTGCATTTTAGACTAATAGATACCCTGCTCTATCCAGAGAGTACAAGATAAAGCCATAACGTGGAGATGGGTCTGTCTTATCAAAAGCTTGCAAAGAGCCATCATCGTTCAGTTACGAAGACCCATGTTGAAACCCTCTCGTTTTTGCCCGACCTTGAACAAAGCTGGGGTGTTTGTGGCACACTGAGGGATACTGAGATGCTCAACCGCACCTAGATTATCTAAGAAAAAATGTAACTTGGAAATTCCTATGGACAAGTAGCTTCAAGTAGCCCCGGAGCAGGAAGCAGCCTGAACTTGTTCTGAAGGCTTTACCTACGTATCTGCTGTGGAGAGAAGATACAGCCATCCTTTCCACCCCCTTTTCTCTGCCTTCTCTGCCGAGCTGCTGGCTAGGAAGCTCTGGAGTGCCAGCAGAGAGAAGAATCTACTTCCCGAGGGAATACACTCAGCCACAGCACAGGGAAACAAGGAAAATCAAGGACTGTGTTTCTCTTGTCTCAATATGCCCATCCTGCGTTGCCTGAAGGACCTGATCACCAAGCCAACCTGCTAGACTTTGCAGGGGGAGGTGCCCAGTGGGCAAGGGGAAAGGTTTGCCTTCCAATCCCCGCTGCATCCAAGCTGGATCAGACCTGACATCAAAGCCAAGTGCCACAACCACCAGGCTGTTTCCTGGTTATTTGGGGATCTGACTGGTTTTTTTTCTCTCTTCCAAAGTATATTGCGCTATTTTCACTCATGGTGGAGCAGATTTGACAAGAACTTGGTCTGCAACACCAAATAGCTTACCAAAGAGACATTCCCCCGGGAGCTGGTTGGTGTGGGTGACGTATCATATCCCAGGTGTACACTCTTAACCACCAGTCTATACAGTAAACAAGTAGAAAGAACATATCCTGCAGGTAGTTTGTCAAAAAACAATTATTTTAGTGCTAGTCTTGTGCCCTTATTGTACAAAGATGATCAAGGGACTGGAGCACCTCTCTGCTCAGGAACGGCTGACAGAACTGGGACTGTTCAGCCTGGAGAAGAGAAGACTGAGAAGAGACCTCATCAATGCTCATCAATATCTAAAGGACAGGTGGCAGGAGGATGGGCCCAGGTTCTTCTCGGTGGCGCCCAGCAACAGGACAAGGAGCAACAGGCACAAGTTGGAACATGGGAAATTCCATCTGAACATGAGGAAAAACTTCTTTCCTGTGAGGGTGGCAGAGCCCTGGCAGAGGCTGCCCAGAGAGGTGGTGGAGTCTCCTTCTCTGGAGACATTCAAACCCCCCTGGACACGTTCCTGTGGGACCTGCTCTGGGTGACCCTGCTCTGGCAGGGGGTTGGACTGGATGATCTCCAGAGGTCCTTTCCAACCCCTACCATTCTGAGATTTCTTACCAGAGGCACAGTCTTAAATCACATTTTCTTAAGGTTTCTTAGGTGTTCTTAAGTAGCTTCCTACCTGGTCTGTAGGCTTTGTATGTCCCCTGCCTTACTGACCCTGGGAAGCATGGAAGGAACTTACTTTTCTCCACCGAGAAAAGATGCCTTTGAATTCCACAAAGCGTCACAGCATCTAAAAATTTGGGGATGCAATTTATAATACTCATGGTCTACACACCTGTTCCATGGAAATTAAAAGAAAAAAGTACCTATAGATTTCTGTGGTTTGGGATATGAGCATCTCTATTAAAACCTTAACTTAAATATACCCCTAACTGGTAGCATGTTTGAAATAATTGAGCAAGACAATCCTGAGTAACTCATCAGTCCCTCTATTATTCTTTCCAGAGCTGCACAGCAGCTATTTACTCAATATGATTTGTTTTAATTTTTTTATTCAGCATGTTTTATGCATTAGTATCAGAAAAGCTTGTCTTTCTCTTGGCAAATGTTACTGCAAGTTGTCTGGCAGGGAGGTGAGATTATGTAGATTTATTTATTCAGAGTGTAATTTGCATAAATGAAAAATGGAAATAGAGCGTTTTTTCTGAATTAGAGCCTTTTTTTTTTTCCTTCAAGGCGAAATAAAATTGTGTGCAACACAGTAGTTCCCATTGCCAGATTTTTTTTTAGGGGGACTATAAGTCATTTCGATGCCTTGGACCATTTTCTTCCACTTGGATGCTTTAATGCCTGAAAGCGTATTCTGAGGAAAAGATTAAGAAGACGAAATAGAACAGATTGAAAATAAATTTACTTATAAGCAGTTAAAGGTGTCTTGTTGGAAAAAAATCTCAGAGCCATGTTAAGGATTTTAGGTGCCCGGGGTAAACTGTTGGTCTGGAGGTCTGTGTGGTCCTGGGCTACCAAACGGTGGTGATTTGGAGAAACTCTACATGCACAGAGAATTGGCATGGTGTGTGTTTAACCTAGGTGGCCTCGTCAGCACAAGGTGACATCCGTGTGCCTGGACACTATGTCTGATGGGCCACCAGCTCAGCTCGTTGACCTCCATCCCCCTGCCCTGGGCAGGGACACCTCCCACCACAACAGGTTGCTCCAAGCCCCCTCCAACCTGGCCTTGAACCCCTCCAGGGATGGGGCAGCCACAGCTTCTCTGGGCAACCTGGGCCAGGCTCTCACCACCATCACAGCAAAGTTCTACTAAATATCTGATCTAAATCTCCCCTCTTCCAGTTTAAAACCATTCCCCCTCATCCTATCACTACATTTATCTGGATGTGAGGGGGACTCTCTTATGGGGCAGGTGGTAGATATCTGGGAAAACACCTAGTTCCTGAAAAGAAAAAAAAAAAAAATATATATATATATAATGGATGAAAGGTTATTACCATTGTTATCACTCAGAATGCAGGCGTTAGCCGTGCAGTGGGGAATATCCACCCTGCAGTGTGTGGCACATCTGGCAGCCCAACCACTGGTTAATGCATCCCAGGAATCCCTTCAGAGCCGGCGTTCTGTGTCTCAGGACACAGTTTTTTTGGGGATTAAATTGGAGAAAAAAAAAAAAAAGCATATCCTACATTCAGTGCATCCGGACGTTAGGGATGGATTGCCCCACTCCTTGCCATGGCTCTGGAGCCGTGGCATTATTCCTGAGGCCTTTGCTTTGCCACTATTTATTTATTCTTGTCTGCAGAGGTCCTCTTGTCCTCTCCAGCTGCTCCATCATCCACCAGCACCTCCCGGTAGCCCACCCTGCTCCCGCAGCCCATCCCTCCTCCCAGCTGACCCTCGCCGAGGTCAGGATGCGATTAGGTGGCTGGAGATCATAAGGAATATTAATCACAAGGAACGCTTGGATGTTGCTTTGCCAGACTTCCCTATGTGAAATACGCTGCGGCCAGCTATCGGGTTACCAGTGGCTGCAAAAAGAAACAGTTCTCTCTTTACCCTTGACAGTCAAAAGAAAGTTTGATTTATTTTCTCATTTTCAGTTAGTCTAAAGGCAGCTGGGCAGCATTGCTGCAAAGCTCGAGCTGTGTGTCATGGTAATAGGGGCAAGATGTTTGTTCACTTCTGCTCTCTTCCTCTCTCTAATTGTTCTATTGTCTTCTTGTTTTCTCTCCGCGTTTGGGCTGGCAAAATGTCTCTCTGCCTTTAGCCCTCTGGCCAAAACTTGACGGGCTCCTAATCAAGAACTAACACCACCAGCAGGATATTTCCTGTCTTTGTTTACCATTCCCCGTATCATCTTTCTTCTCCCCTTGGTCCGTCGTAGCAAATTTTCACCATTATTTTCCTCTGACTCTTCCCCCACACAAGGGTGCGGGAACCTCCCCACGCATTTATTGTTCCCCTTTCATTTTTCTGGCCTCTGGATCTCTGGCCTCCCAGCTCTGCATCCTGGAAGAGAAGCAGATGCATCCAGAACCAGATCTGGAGGAACCAAGTCATCCTGGGATGGCCATGTATTCCATGTATATCAGCAGAATGTTTATTACCGAGCCTCAATGCAAATTGTATTGGTGTTTTGAACATATGAGGGGTAATCACAAGGTGATTAATTACTAGGTAGTGTTCATCATAACTTGTGTTTCCATGCAAATATCGAGACTGTAGGCCTTTTTTTTCCCCATTTAAAACACCCTTCAACATCTCCGTATCTAGATTGTGGCTAAGGTGTGGCCAGGAGGAAGTTCAACCCAAGTAAAATCAAATACTGTAGCCTGGGAAGAATTACCAGGCCCAGAGAAGCTGTGGCTGCCCCATCCCTGGAGGGGTTCAAGGCCAGGTTGGAGGGGGCTTGGAGCAACCTGGGCTGGTGGGAGGTGTCCCTGCCCAGGGCAGGGGATGGGAACTCAATGATCTTTAAGGTCCCTTCCAACCCAAACCATTCTATAATTCTATGAAAAGCAGATTGTGGCAGCTGTGGCGTGACTCAAAGAATTCATTTTTATATGCTGAAACCTTCAGAGCCCTAAAGCTTCTCCTCATCTATCCTGCAAAGCAGAGAATCCCTTCTTCCCCGGAGCTCCTGTGAACTTCTCACATCTCCTTCAGTGTGCGCAGAGGTTTTGATGAACCATCCAGTGGTTTTCCACGGAGATGAATGGATCAGTGCGGTGCCACTAGCAGAGGTGCCAATTAATTTCAACGAGGATGCTCTTGAGAGCTTAATCAAAGTCTGCTCCTCATCTTCAAGTGAAGATG